TTCCTGAGCTCAGCCAGTGACCCATGTAGGCTAAAGCTAAGCTAACATTCAACAAACTAATCTCCATTTCATTCATTGTAGACGACTTAGAATATTACTATGAACATAAAGAGACTGAAATACTGGACGTTCATTTACATCTTTTGTGATTCGTGTGTTTCGTGCACTGTTTTGCACATGTGCTCGTGTGGACCTGAGCCCGGTGCAGGACTCTGGTTCAGGTCTCGGTTTATTAACTATGCAACGCTGCCCTCATTTACCCCGTACTTCATTTTGCAGATCATTTTCTAAGACGATTAATTTATTTCCTGACGTGTGATGGATGAAACTCTAGATTTATCATTTTGATGAGTTGTTTCTCGATTGTTCCGTTATGTTATATTTTAGCAGACTGACGTCTCGTCGTCACAGAGTAACTCCTGCTGCAGGATTCACACCGACACCCTCCCTGTGTGCTGCAGGTCTAGTCAATAATTGGGCCGATTTGAGGAGATTTCCTGCAAACATTCCCAACAAATACTAGAATCGACTGGAGGAGCAGTGAGTCATCGCGTTGTTCATGAGCAGCTCAACACTTGTTTATTCGACGTGACGTCGCTTCACGTGATTCATGCTGTGAGCTCTCTGAGCGGCACCACACCTCCATGACCTCGCGCTGACCTCACGCTGCTTCACAACCTGAACCAGAACTCAGACCGTTGTGTTCACACCTACAGGACCGGTGAGTTACAGCTTCGTCCAAGTCTGGGACGTGAACGAGCTCGTTTCCAGGAGGAGCTGCTGAAAACCTTCATGTGTAAATGTGCTTTTACGTTTTCACATTTGGATGTTTGATTTGACATCGGGCCTTTCTTTAAAGGTCAGAAGACAGACGAGCAGAAGATGTGACGTGTTTTGATTTGAAGCGTTGATTCATCTCTTCAGTGGAAACAGCTCGGCTCTTGTTTCTTTATTCTCTTTCTAAAGATCATTAAAGACTTCTCAATGCTCTCTGTTCTCTAACGGCGTGTTTCTGTCGGAGCTTCATTTATCGTTTAGAGAAACCGCTGAGCTTCTTCACTACTCTTTACTCTCATTCACAGTTCAGATTAACGTCCGTCTTTCATTTCTCTCTCTGGAGCGACATGCAGCACATCCTCACATCCACATTCAGCTGAAGCACTTCTTCTCTCTTTTATTTATTTATTTATATACACGAGATGTTATTTGTCGGCGCCTCATTAGAAGAAACCAATTTCCTCCAGATGTTGATTTAATGGAGCAGGAATATATTTATTTATATATATATCTTCATATTTATATATCTGTGGATGACTAACGGGAGCTGCAGGTTTAGTGTCGACTACTTGAAGCTCCATTGGAACTGGTCGCGCTACGAGTGAATGTTTATTTGAGGCAAAGCTTAAAGAAAGGTCAAAATGATTTGGTGAGGATTTAGTTTTTGCTCATTTAAAAGTAGATTAAACGCTTAAACGCAGATCAAACATCACACGTCACACGTTCTCCATCAGCCATCCATCACCTGATTCCCTCCTGATTAATGAGCCGAGCAGCGATCTGACGTCTATATGGATGATAAAGCATTACTAGATGATACAGCACTCGGGGCGCTAATCAGTAGATTAGCATATAGCTTCCGTCTCTTCATCATAAATAAACAGTGATGATGAAGAGGAGAAGACGAAGGACCTCGTGTGTAAACCGAGTGGTGCAGAGCTGCTGCCATCTGTTGGTGAGACTCGCAGCTCAGACGTCTTCAGACATAAACATGAAATATCTCTGACTGCACAATAAACATCTGTGAATGATGATCAGATGATCTTCACCAGACTCCTCCCATTACCCTGCAGCTGGCCAATCAGAGCTCGAGCAGCAGCTCTGTGAGCTGTAATTATATAACAATATTAAAATACTAACGTATATATTTGTTACGTCTCATTGTCTTTATTTTCTATTGACAAGTTTTAGTTTTAGTTTTTAATTGTGTTTAAATGTAAAGCTATAGTTGATGCTCCTGATGTGTATCAAACACAAACAGTGTGAGAAGCTTCAGCGTGACGTTTGAAGTGTTTTAATGACTAAACAGAACAGTGTGAAGCTTCATTCATGTAAATGTAATAGAACAGGTGGACGATGCAGAACAGAGTCAGGTGACTTCATGACGTACCTGTGAAACATCTCAGCACTTTATTTAACGGTGAAAAAAGAAAAAACAAGCATAGTGTTGGCATGACAACAGAGACAAACCATCGTATTCATCGTGAGGATCCGCTGGAATAAAACCTTCACCTCTGACCTTCTCTAACGGAACATGTCTGCACAACAGAGAGGAGAGAAGAAGAGGAGAGAAGAAGAAGAGGAGAGAAGAAGAAGAGGAGGGAAGAAGAGGAGAGAAGAAGAAGAGGAGGGAAGAAGAAGAAGAGGAGGGAAGAAGAGAGAAGAAGAAGAGAAGAGGAGGAGAGGAGAAGAAGAAGAGGAGAGAAAAAGAAGAGAGAAGAGGAGGAGAGGAGAAGAAGAAGAGGAGAGAAAAAGAAGAGAGAAGAAGAGGGAAGAAGAGGAGAGAAGAAGAGGAGGGAAGAAGAGAGAAGAAGAAGAAGAGGAGGGAAGAAGAGGAGAGAAGAAGAAGAAAAGAGGAGAGGAGAAGAAGAGGAGAGAAAAAGAAGAGAGAAGAAGAGGAGGGAAGAAGAAGAAAAGAGAAGAAGAAGAGGAGGGAAGAAGAGAGAAGAAGAGGAGAAGAAGAAGAAGAGAGAAGAAGAAGAAAAGAGAAGAAGAGGAGGAGAGAAGAAGGAGAGAAGAAGAAGAAGAGGAGAGGAGAAGAAGAAGAGGAGAGGAGAAGAAGAAGAGAGAAGAAGAAGAGGAGAGGAGAAGAAGATGAGGAGAGAAGAAGAAAAGAGAAGAAGAAGAGGGAAGAAGAAGAGAGAAGAGGAGCCGACGTGGACCCGGCTTCAATGAGTCTGACGGACGTCTAGCTGTGGTGAGTGAGTATAATGGTTCCAGTAGTGACCACCAGAGTGGACCAGTGCTCTAAGGAACAGAAGACCACCAGAGTGGACCAGTGCTCTAAAGAACAGAAGACCACCAGAGTGGACCAGTGCAGCGTTCATTCTACGAGCTCGAAGCAGAAAACATCTGGACTGATGAGTTTCTATCTGCAGAACCATCAACGTTTAAAGGATAAGATATATAGATATATATATATCTATAGATATATATATATATATAGATCTATCTATATCTATATATATATAGATCTATCTATCTATATATATATATAGATCTATCTATATCTATATCTATATAGATCTATCTATATCTATATCTATATAGATCTATCTATATCTATATCTATATCTATATAGATCTATCTATATCTATATATAGATATAGATATCTATATATAGATATAGATATCTATATATAGATATAGATATCTATATATAGATATAGA